ACCGAATCCAACTATTTAAATGATACAGTATCATAATTTTGATCAAATCTGTTTAATTGATACTCAGTTTATTGCAGAATTTATTTATTTATTTGTATTAACCAAAACCCACAAGATTCAGAATATAGTGAATTGATATTACCACATGAATTTTCCACATTACAACATTTCTTAAATTGTGACACCCAATAAGTAACATCCTTTGGACTATTTCTACATCTTGGTGGGAAATGCATAATCTCATCCAATGTTTGCAATTATTACAAAAATTATAGTGTTGACTGATTGCCTCAACCATTCAACCCTTATAATATTGGGGGGGGGGATTTTATGGAAAATGTTTATCTAACTATAAACTGACCTTTTTAAGCTTTGCATTATTTTAAATGCATTTAAAAAATAAGCCAATACCATATTTTATTTCATATTTTCAATCCACATTTTAAATTCAAGTTCCTTATTTATTTATGCCAGCACATAGGGCATCAAGTAGGGCTGGGCGGTATATCGAGTTTGTACGATATATCGATATTTTCTTTATAAGCGTGTATATCGATATACAGTAGTTTGATGCGAGCGCATCTAAAAAATATAACGGAGGACACAGACTGAGCTGCTGCGGAGAAAGTGCATAATCCAATTAGTTCTAAACATGTGACAAGCTATATATTAAGGCCTGTTAAGACATAGTTTATAGTTTCGTTTCGCATATTAGTTTAAGTGGCTCGGCCCGTCTGCTCTGACAGAAAGGCTGCGTGTGCCGCTGACAGAGACACGGCTACTTGCTCTGTTTAATGTGTTTTGAGTCTTCCTAAGTGCATAACTTACATTTCACAGGTATATTCTCCATCTGTAAATGTTAGAAAGCCATGGAAATATTTAAATTTTTCTGTCAGAAGTGCATGAGCCTTCTTTGGGATTCCCCCACTAAACTTCACAGACTTCAGTGAGCGAGCGCTGCCGCGCATGCGCACCAAACAGACAGAGCTCAATTAAATAGGAGCGCAATAATTCTGACTAAAATATACATTTCGCTGAAATATTTGTAGTTGGACAATACATGTGACATGTAGAATTTTAAACCTACAAGTAAGTGTATTTTTATGATAGCTGTAAAGTGACTGTAATGGGGTAATCAAAATAGCCTAACACACGATTTTTAGTTTAGTGAATTTTACTTCCGCTTTAAAAGCCTTATTTTTGTTTTTAGATTGCAATGTTACAATGTTAGAATGAAATGTGATTTTAACCCTTTTTTGCACATAATATAAAGGCTTACATGGTTACATTCACTTTATTTGTTTTCATAGCCTTTAATATGTATTGTTTTGTTGCACAACATTGGGCGGTAAGTGAAATATATATATATACATTAAATACAGATTTTTAAAATCCAAATATAAAAACGAAAATACCAACAGATATACCGTATATCGCAAATCGGACAAAAAATACAGAGACATTAATTTTTGCCCATATCGCCCTGCCCTAGGGTCAAGCTAGTGACATATAATTTCACATTTGGAATTGTGTGGTGGGTTGGTTGAAATGTGGGAATAGCAGTATGTTGTAAGTCCAGAGCCCTGCCCCCCGTCCTACTTCTATTTTCTCACTTCAGAATGTCGCAAGCCGTAGTTTAAGGGTTTTCGAGAAAATCAGAAGGAAGGAAGGTATGTGGTGTGAGATAAACCCTCAAGATATCCAAAGCTTATTTTCTTTCCTGATTTTTGTGGCGAGTGTTATGTTTAACTTGTGTGGGTGTATGGCAGAACATGCATGTGAATGCATCATCTGAGCCTCTACCCTCCATTTGTAAACAGAAATAGCTCCCCACCCCCCCAAAGTTCATTAAGGTTCTTTCTCTTCTCACCTGCCTTTCAGTGGGAGTCACAGTGTTTGAAGCGTTCCTGCGATCCGAGTTCAGTGAGGAAAACCTGCAGTTCTACTCGGCCTGTGAGCAGTACAGACAGTCGTCCAACAAATTCACCCTGCAGAGACGGGCAAAAATGATTACTGAGACTTACATCCAGCCGGGTGCTCCCAGAGAGGTAGATTTAGCCAAATTTGGCTGTATGTTTGTCTGTTTACAGCATTGAAAATATTGCCTCCACACTGTTCAAGCTGCTTTTTCTCATACAATAAAAAATAAATGGGGTCTGGGGCTGCTGAACATCTGACAACTTAATTATTTTTGCAAATTTGAATAATGGCACAGAAATGGTAAACTTAGGCTTTAAAATTTGGTATATATATATGTATATACAGTGGGTACGGAAAGTATTCAGACCCCCTTTATATGTTTCACTCTTTGTTATATTGCAGCCATTTGCTAAAATCATTTAAGTTAATATATATATATATATATATATATATATATGTGTGTGTGTGTAATATAATTTTTTTTTAAAAGTAAATAAATACATTTTGGGTCATTTTTAGAGCTTGATAGTCCCAGTGCGTATTATAAAAGCTAAATAAATTGTGGTCCTTTCCTCACACAAATCTGTCATATGACTACAGAAGACTTAAAGAAGTATAGAACATTGTTAGAATGTAATTTGTTTTAAATTTAATTGTATTAATTAATTAAATTATTTATCTATTTTTTGGAGCTTCAGTCACTGGAGTCCTAGTGACTATTATAGAAGCAAAGTAAATTTTAGTTATGGTTAATTATTCATATTTCCTGTTGTGAGCTAAATTCGCTACACCTCACACCAATCAATCATATGACTTCAGAAGTCTTAGAAAAAAAGCACTTTTTTATGTAATACATTTTTTTTTTGGAGCTTGATAGTCCCATTGTGTATTATAAAAGTAAAGTAAATTTTGGTCCTTTCCTCGCACAAATCTTTCATATGACTTCAGAAGACTTAAATATGTATATACAGTGGGTACGGAAAATACTTTCCGTACCCACTGTATATATATATATATATATATAGATCAGTTTTTATAATAAAAAAAATACATTAAATTTTTTAAAATGTATTTATTTATTCATTCATGTACTTTTATTTTAGCATTTTTTTGTGGAGCTTGATTGTCCTTGTGCCTATTATAAAAGCAAAGTAAATTCCTCACACAAATCTATCATCTTTCATCTATCATAAGACTTCAAAATAAATATAGAATTTTTGTATAATTCTTTTTTTTTATTTTATTATATGAACTTGATATTCCCAGTGCATAAAATAATAAAGCAAATTTTGGTCATTTCCTCACACAAATCTGTCATATGACTTTTAGAAGGCTTAAATATATAACATTTTTGTATACTATTATAGTAACTATTTTTTAGCCTTGTTGGGGGCTTGACACTCACTCGCAATCGCATTGTCTGTTATAAAAGCAAAGATCATTTGGGATATCCTTCAGTATATAATTTTTGTGTGAATATTTGTGAACTATAAATTTCATTTCTGCCACTTTTAGGTGAACCTGGACAGCAAGACGAGAGAACTGACCCTAGAGCTCCTCAAAGGCCCCTCTCACACTTCCCTCTCACATGCTCAAAGGCGCATCTACTGCCTCCTGGAAATGGACTGTTACCCCCGCTTCCTCCAGTCGGAGATCTACCTCACACTACTGAGGGATTCATATTAGAACAAAAATGGGCAAAATGTCTGAAAGCGGAGTCATCCTAAAAACTGAACAGACATCATGCCTGTGATGAAAAAAAAATCATCTTAACTACTGAATAACGTTTTAGTGAAACAGACGAGCAGGGAGGATGCAATTGTCTTGAACTTGAATGCATAGTGTCTAAAGGGGAAAGAAGTGCTGACATTTTACGTTTGATATGGGCTTTTTTATTTGCTACACTGAAACGATATCACTGGACTACATGGCTTGTTGACAGCCAACAAAGGAAAAAATACGTCTGGCAAGAATGGGCTGTTCAGTGAAAGGCCGGAGCACTCATTAGGGTCAGACCATTCTTTGACTCCAACTGTATGTGTGGTTACAAACGAGCAGCACTAACTCATTCCTCGAATTTACTTTCCAATAAATAATTCTATAATATATTCAAACAAAACCTCAAGCTCTCACCAAGACAAAATTAAAATAGACTGTCATCTAAATAAGCAATATGAACACAAGTACTTCAAACAAAAGTTAAAAACTTCCTCGTAGGCTTGAGATCAGACGGTCAGATTGAGTTTAAAATGTTTGAGACATTTGAAACCCTGTGCATTAGCATATTGTGATTTTATGATCACAGAATGCATATTAAAGCTGTACTCCTCATTCATTTGAAGAAAATGTGACTGTAGACATTGAAATCAAAGGTCGATCACAGAGTTTGGCCCTTTTTTAAATCGAAATAATATGAACTAATGTTATTAAAACGGGTTTTTGGTTGTTTTTAGGTAACTAGAATTCAGTAAATGTCACACATACTTAAGTGACACTCTGTAGAGCGTGTTGCAGGGAACTGTCACAAGTTGACAGGTTTGAAATGCAGACACTGAACGGGAACCTGCTTGAGCAAACTGGCTTGACACCAGCACTAATACCATCCCAGTGAGCACACATACATTTCCAAGGCTTCAGTTAAAGAGCAAATTACCTGAAGAGCACTTATTCTTATTATTAGACAAATGAAGAACATCTTAAAAAGAGCAGATCACAAAAATGTCAACTTGAAAATCTGAGAGGGAACATTTTTCAAATGTATATTCCAGATGAATGCACATAGCAAAAAAAGTTTGTATTTTAGTGTCTGTTGATGATGTCTGCTGTGACCGACAGACGGTACATGTATTATTACTGTAGACATGCTATTAAGAACCGCATGCACTAATGTCCTTGGTTTAATCTGAGTATAATATAAAGGATTTCCTTAAGGGAATCATGGAATTATGTGATCAGTGTACAAGAATGAGCTTCAGTTTGACTGTCAAAGTATTTATGTTGTTTGAGAGCAGCGGTATAAATGAATCCAACAGAACAAATGTTTAACCATTTAATTTAATTTTCACAAAAAAAGTCTGTACTTTTGCATTGACCGGTTTTTGAAAAACATTATAAAGCATTGTGATTATAAAAGCACAAGTCATAAAATGAATAGCTGACACATTTATAAATAGGACTGATAAAAAAAGTTACAAATAGCTGCTGATGTTTTTTTTCATTAAAGGTCTTTTTCACTTTTGTGGTTTAATAAAAATTCTTTCTCTCCCTTTATTATTCTCACTTCTTTGCGATGTCCAACCGTTCATTTCTGTTCTTAACATCTTCTGTCACCAGGGCCGTGTGCTGCGATACTCTTGTTTCTGTCTGACCCACTGGGCCGTACAGCGGCTCTCCCCAACCGTCCAGGACCATCAGCCCCTCTCCGTTGTAGTCGCTCCACCTTTCCTCCAGCCCTCTTCTCTGTTCTGTGACACTTTGGTCTGCAGCTCTTCTCTGCATTCCAGGGCTGTTATGGAGGTCTGCTCCTGAACATGATCTTTCTTGGGGGCGGCACGTGTCGGAAGGGACACAACCTGGCCTTGAGGATGTGGTCTGGAAAAGAAGATAAAAAACAATGAAAGATGGAGCGAAAGCAGCACATTAAAGGGATAGTTCACCCAAAAATGAAAATGTGATGTTTATCTGTTTACCCCCAGGCCATCCAAGATGTAGGTGACTTTGTTTCTTCAGTAGAACACAAACGAAGATTTTTAACTCAAACCGTTGCAGTCTGTCAGTCATATAATGCAAGTGGATGGGAATCACGGCTTTGAGAAAGTCCTCGACAGCAGGCGCTTGATGCGTCGTCGTCTTCTTGCTTTACGGTGGATCGCCGACTTATAAGTGCATTACCGCCACCTATCTCTCAAATGGACTATTGACACTCCTAATTGAGATTGTAGATAGAGTGTAAATGGTCCATTTTGAGCACTCAGGACAGTTCACGCATTGCAGTGCATCAGAGGTAAAAAACAGTATACTGTTCAGTTTCTTGCACAGACCGATCGTTTCGTGTCTTTACACATCAATGTATCGTTACGAGCCGCAGGGTTTAATTTGGCTTTGTTTGTGTATGTTTTTTTGACTCTCAAAGCCGTGATTCCCATTCACTTCCATTACAAGACTGACAGACTGCAACGGTTTAAGTTAAAAATCTTCGTTTGTGTTCTACTGAAGCAACAAAGTCACCTACATCTTGGATGCCCTGGGGGTAAGCAGATAAACATCAAATTTTCATTTTTGGGATAATTCACCCAAAAATGAAAATTCTGTCATCATTTACAAACCCTCATGTCATTCCAAACCTGTATGAGTTGCTTTCTTATGTTGAACACAAAAGAAGATATTTTGAAGATTGCTGGTAAT